GACCCCCCATGGGGCTCCAAAATGATGCCCCTGGCAGCGTTTTGCGACCATGAGGCTCTCAAGAGAGACATGTCGGGGAGGCCAAACGGCAATTTTAGCTGAGACGTCCCACCAAAATCGGCGCGAACGGGCTCGTGAGATCAGCCAGGGTGGCTCCCCCTTGGGGCTCCCAAATGATGCCCCTGGCAGCGTTTTGTGACCATGAGGCTCTCAAGAGATACATGTTGGGGGCGCCAAACGGCAATTCTAGCTGAGACGTCCCACCAAAAATCGGCGCGAACGGGCTCGTGAGATCAGCCAGGGTGGCTCCCCCTTGGGGCTCCCAAATGATGCCCCTGGCAGCGTTTTGTGACCATGAGGCTCTCAAGAGATACATGTTGGGGGCGCCAAGCGGCAATTCTAGCTGAGACGTCCCACCAGAATCGGCGCGAACGGGCTCGTGAGATCAGCCAGGGTGGCTCCCCTTGGGGCTCCCAAATGATGCCCCTGGCAGCGTTTTGTGACCATGAGGCTCTCAAGAGATACATGTTGGGGAGGCCAAGCGGCAATTCTAGCTGAGACGTCCCACCAAAATCGGCGCGAACGGGCTCGTGAGATCAGCCAGGGTGGCTCCCCCTTGGGGCTCCCAAGTGATGCCCCTGGCAGCGTTTTGCGACCATGAGGCTCTCAAGAGATACATGTTGGGGACGCCAAGCGGCAATTCTAGCTGAGACGTCCCACCAAAATCGGCGCGAACGGGCTCGTGAGATCAGCCAGGGTGGCTCCCCCTTGGGGCTCCCAAATGATGCCCCTGGCAGCGTTTTGTGATCATGAGAGAGTGTGAGTGTGAGTGAATGTGACTGTGAGTGAGTCTGAGTGAGAGTGAGTCTCATCTTATCTGATCGAGTCCTATCTTATCTTACCTTTATTACCCTCTATCTTATATTATCTTGAAATCTCTTATCTTGTATTAGCTTATCTTATATCAACTCATCTTATCGCATCATATCTTGTCCTATCTTATTACTCCATAGGCTGTCTTATCTTATCTATTATCATACCTTGTCATATATCTTATCTTACCTTATCATATCTTGTGATAGCTTATCTTATCTTGTAGTATCTCATCTTATCTTGTCTTATCTGGTGATTATCATTGGGAGGAGGGAGGTGGGAGGCGGGAGGAAGAAGGACGAGGAGGAGTGGGAGGCGTCAGAGTAATAACAAGAACCCCAATCATTAGGATATGGGGAAAAACGCTGTTTTTAGGTCGAGCCCTGGCTCGGAGGAAGAAGCGAGACCGATCGGCACGGTCGAAGGAGAGTGTGTTTCACCCTCTGGGCCCTAACGCGCGGTAGGCCCCCCCTTCCCCCCACTCTCCCTCCCCCCTTCTCCCATGACGCAACGCTCCCCCCCCGCCAGGTGCGTCCCCGGCACTGCCGCAGTTCGTCCGGCACGACAGTTTGTGGTGCTGGCTGGACCCACACGGGCGGGGGGGGGGGGGCGTTGACGTTCAGCCCCCCCCACCCGCCCCCTCCCATCCCCCCGCAACGACTGTTATCGCTGCGAACGAATTCATGTTTTCAAAGAATTGGTACAACGATCGACCGCAGTTCTTGATAATTTTGAACAGTACTCGCTGCCGGTGTCGCCGCGGACGTTGTCCATTTGAGACAGGAGGCCGCCTGCCCAACAGCGGCCGCTGTTGGTTTTGGGCAAATTGGTTGTTAAGCATCGTACCATTTTTTCATGCTCGTCTCGGGCGTCCAAAACCGATACCGCTGTTCGTCCCGGAGAGCCCTTTTCGCCACGGCTGGATTCTCCCCGAAACTTTGGCCAGAGCGCATCCCAGGAGAGGTCTGGGGAGTGGCGGTCGGAGGGCAACATTTCCCCAGAAGACCAATATCTCGGGCTTGTGCCACATGCCGTTCTCACTCTCTGGCCACAGGCCTCTAAGGACACACGGGGCGCCGCTGCGTACCAAAACGCGTTCGGGGTGGATACGCCGGCAGACAGCGCGGCCGTTGCGCCCGGCGCAGTGCAAGCTTGGAGGAAGGGTATCCATACATTTATACATATACACATATTCACACATCTCTCTATATATATATATATATATATATATATATGTGTATATATATGTATATATACACATACATATATGTGTGTATATATATTCACACATATATATATATATATCATGTTCCAGAGCAGGCCCCGCATGGTACGCCAAAGCAGCGGTATGGGCATCGTTTGGTCCCCCCTCCCCCCCCCAGGCGACGCGGGCGCGCCCGCGGCCCAGCACGCCGACGTCTGGGCGGCGCTGCGGGCGATGGGCACCGCGCAAACACACGCCCCTGCACTCTCGGGGCCGAGGCCGCGAGCGGGGGACGCGCGCGCTCGGACACCCAGTTGAGAGAAACAATTAAGCAACACTCCCCCCCTCCCCCGCAATTCAAAGTTGACAGGTTTTCGCAAGACCGCTCGGAGGCCCCAAAATCGGAAGATCCGAAGCCAACATTGCATTTTGGGGGGAGGGGGGGGAGGTTCAAAGCATATGTTCTGCATGAGGGTTGCTTAATTGTTTCCGACACCTGCCTCACGGTGGAAGCTCCGCGGCGGGCGCCCCCTGGGCAGAGAAGGAGAAGGCCTTCTCAGAAGGTGGCGGGGCTTCTCAGAAGTCCTGCGGCCTTCTGAGAAGTACTTGCTGCGTCTTCGGGGAAGGCTCAAAAAACTTCTCAGAAGGCCAGGGGGCTTCCGAGCCTTCTGAGAAGGCCTTCTCCTTCTCACTTCCCCCTCTTGCTCGCCGCCGAGCGCATGGACATGTCGCCGCGCCGTTTATTCTCGACGCGCCCAAAGTGGACGGCACCGCCACCACGGCAAGCCCACCGCAAACCCTGCATCCCGCGCCGAAGGAGACACAGCATGCGCTGCGGCAAACCCCTCTGCAAGCCATGCGTCCGAGGCTGAGTTTGCCCCGGCGCCCTCCCCAAAACGCAGGGCCGCGCGCCAGAACAAGCGGCGCGGCGACACGCACTGGTGCTGTGCGCCTCTGCTGGAGACGCAGGCCCGACCCGAACATGCAGCACAAGGCCCCGTGGTGTGCCCATATTTCCCCACATCCTCCGTCTCCGGGGAGTCGACGATGACCTGTGTCTGTGCGCCTCTTTCCCTTGTGAGCTTCCCCCTTGCAACTCCCACCCCCCAGAGAGGCGGAGGAGGAGGAGGAGGAGGAGGAGGAGGAGGAGGAGGAGGAGGAAGAGGAGGAGGAGGAGGAGGAGGCGGGAGGAGGGGAGAGGAGGAGGAGGAGGAGGAGGAGGAGCAGGAGCAGGAAAAGGACGAGGAGGAGGAGGCGGAGGAGGAGGCGTTCCTTGCTCGCCGCCGAGACACGCCCTTGTGCTTCCCAGGCGACCGCGAGGCCGCGGGCGCCGAAGCCGCCGGGGGGCGCCGGGGCGCCCCGCGGCGGCGCCTGCGACGCGCCGGGGCGCGAGGAGTACCTGCGGCACCTGGCTGCGCCGGACCTGCTGCCGCGCGCGCAGGGGGCGGGCGGCCTGCGCTTCTTCGGCGCGGGGGCGGGCGGGGACAGCCAGGATCCGAGGAGGAAAAGTCGGACGATCGCAAACATGGATTCAGGGGGCGTAGATTCGCGGCGTGTCCCGTTTCCATGGGAAATCGCGGATTTCCGCCGCCGAGCGAGGCGGCACCGGCCGCATTTTGGGGAGGGCACCTCCCCCGATCCATGGAATTGGCGACCGCGCTCCAAATCCATGGGTTGCTAATCCGTGTTTGCGCGCCCCCGAAAAAGGCCCGAGCAGTGGCGAAGCGTCCCGGCCTGCCTGTAGGCCCACCGACGGATGTCCCGAGGACATGTTCTGTGGTCTGCGGAAAATGTTCTTTTAGAGCAGGTCTGGCTGGGACTGTCTTGTTCTAGCACCTCGGCTGTCTGTTCTCAGAACTGTTGTGTTTGTTATAAGGACATCTTGTTTGATGATTGCGTGGTAGGCCTGAATGCCAGGACGGTCGGACCCTGCTCAAAACGTACGACCCAGACCACTTCGCGTTGTGAACGAACATCGCGACGGGAGGTTTTTCGTTATCTTCGGCCTCCAGGGGCCCTTACTGGGCCGTGGGACGGTCACAAAACGATTCAGAATTAAAGACTGGTCCTGGGGAAGGGGTCGAGACCTCTGGGGGTCGACGTTGTAAAAAAACGGCGACGTCGGGGCCTGAGAATACAACTGCCCTGGCTTCGTTTTTGCCTTTGTGGCGGCATCCCAGGGGGGCCCTCGTCGCCACCGCTGCATGCGCCTCGGGGTTTTGGTCAGAGCGCACCCCAGGAGAGGTCTGGGGGGTGGCGGCATATCGGTGTCTTTTGGCTTCCCCACAGGATCGTGAGGATCGACATGGGTACGGAAAGAGTGTGTACGATGCCCATTGTCAGTTCCCGTTCATTTTGAACTGGACTCCTCGCTGCCCGCGCCGCCGCGGACGCTGCTCACTGAGGTCCACAAGCCGCCTGCCCGACAGCGGCCGCTGTCGGTTCTGGACAACACTTTGCAGTTGGGCGCCGCACCCATGTTGTCCCTACCCGTGCCGGGCGTCCGAATGTGTTACGCCGGCGGCGAGGCAGAAGTGGGCCGCCTCAGCGGGCGGTGACCCGGGGCGCGACCGATGCGCGGATCGGCCCCGGCGCGCAGGGGGGGGGGAGGAAGCGGAGCGAGGCGGCCACGGAGGAGAGGAGGAGGAGGGGGGGCATGCCGACGCAGTGCGGGGCGTCCAGACAGGAGGCCCCCGCCGCCAGCGCCGTGCTGGAGGCGGTGGCGGAGGCGCACAAGGGGCAGATTGCCAGCCTCGAGGGGAGGCAGCTTGTCCTGGAGCACCTGGCGGGGCGCCTGCCCGTGCGCGCGGAGGGCCTGAAGGCCGAGGTCGCCCAGCTGAAGAAGATGTCGGACGAGCTCGACGAGGCGAGCAGGCAGAGCGAGAGGAAGCTGAGGACGATCCTCGACGAGCAGGAGATCACC